ATGTAGGTGCTCAGCTGACAGAATAAGTTAAACTTCCTGAGAGTCACATTGGCAAAGCAGAAATTGTCAAACGCTCCAGGACCACTCCAGGTTTCAGCAGTCAGCTGTGCTGCCCCTCCGAGAGCTGGACTTCATTGCTACTGCTTTGTGCTAGAGATGCTGGAAGTCCTTTCAGGCACTGTGGGCAAGTCCATCTCACGCCTCTGCCCACGGCAACCTGTAATACAGCCCTGCCATGTCCATGGGGAGGAAAGGGAAGCTCTATTCAGCCCTTTCTCAAGGATGCTGGCAGGGAGAGGGGACCTAGGGGGCAGCCATTCTTCTGAAGACAAAAATAGCTATTGAAAGGGAAGACAATTACAAAGCTAAACTGGTAGAAGGAATCTGTGCTTCTGTGTGCTTTCTTGGAAAACTTTCAAAGGCTTTTTAAGCAACTGGCATGAAGCTTTCTGTTGGCTATGTCTCTTTTGAGAATCATCTCCCATTCGTAATTTTACATTTCATCCTTCTAATAGAAATATTGTACCCCTTAAAAGCACAGGCTTGCTTGGCAAGAGAATGGAATTAAGATCTGGCAACATTCGTAGGGGTCTGTGCATTATTCGTGCCCTGTGTGTGCCAAACTGCCTCAAAAAAGGTATCCTGAGGTGAAAATGCAGATCTGTCTGTAAGGTTGTTCCAGTCCTTGGCCTTTCTACTGGTCAGGTATGAAATTAATTTGGGTTGTTATCATGGTTCCGATACTGATATCTGTCTAGAGGGTGCAGCACATGGCCAATAACCTAATTTCACACTCACACTCGTTAGATATTAAGATTAGATGACTATCATCCTTGGCTGAATTTAAACCAGCAACCATGACCATGATTCAGAAGGCATTCTTATTAGGAAACCATTTAAGTGTGTGTTATACTTTACATATGCTTCTGCTTCACTGAAGCCAGTGGGATTTCTGCCTGTACTTGAAAGCTCCTCTGAATAAGGATGGATTTAAGGGTGTGTTTAAGTACTTTTCCAAAAGTGGAACTCCAAGTTCTAGCTACAGAACGCTACTTGACACTTCCTCTTCCATTTCTTTCTTGATGCTTTGCACGACCTCAGAGCTGGAAATTTAGCCAGAATTTTAGCTAGAACTAACTAAATCTCAGAGGTGGTGAACTGGGCTGTACACCAGCACCATCCAGACTGGCCGCCTCAGCATATACTTAGGGTTTCCCTATGCTGTAGCAATCCCAGGTGCCAAATTGCCTCTGAAACAGCTGAAAATAAATCAGAGTAGGCCTGAGGCTTCTCTACTCTCTTCAGTCATCTTTTTAGCTAGCTAGGCTACATCTGCAATCAGCGGAGAAAGAGTAGGACAATAAGCTAGACTCCTGCTTAGGCTCAGTTTTGGGAGAAGCTGGTGTCTCTCCACTCAGTATAGCCAGAGTCTAATTAGACATGCTAACGGAGTTGCCTAAAATTGTGTGGTTGTGAGCATCCCTCCTGTGTTCCCAGTCGCACTTGCATGCCAAGCCCAGCTTGAATAATCTGGGCCTCTGTATTCTATTAACAATCGTTTAAGCTCTTCCATCTTCTCTTTTGAATGTAATCTATTTTTCATAATGCAAACATGAAGTACATAATTGAATGCATATGTTTTGGGAGTAGGGAGTCTATGGGAATGCCAAATAAATCAATAAAGGTTTAGCACATCATTTTTCATTTGCTGGGATACCATGAGGCATTTATGCATGCCTTTTGGTGGGGAAGAAGAAAAAAAGAGGAAACCCATTATAAATGTATAGCAAAATTTAATTCGAGAGGAAGAGTTTGCATCTGAATTTCATGAAGTCTATTAATATTTTGGTCTTCTTTAGGGTAATACGATTATGCCATTCCCAAACTGATTGTTTCCAAGCAACGATGCGGATCCCTGTATATGTTTGCTTATCTCTTTAGTTTGCTGCTGAACATTCGAGAGGAAGAGTTTGCATCTGAATTTCATGAAGTCTATTAATATTTTGGTCTTCTTTAGGGTAATACGATTATGCCATTCCCAAACTGATTGTTTCCAAGCAACGATGCGGATCCCTGTATATGTTTGCTTATCTCTTTAGTTTGCGGCTGAACCAGAGAGGCTTTCAAAAATAGCTGCGCAACTGATGATATCAGGTGCCATACATAATTTCAAGACTGTGATATTGTTTTAAAAAGATGTTGCATATTTTCTGTCTTTGGAAGTTTTCTTAAAAAGTGCATTGGGGCTTATGTAAGGTATTGGCAAGTGATTTTTTTTTTCAGAATAAGGGGCATAGGGATATGATACCCAATGCCACCAACGTGGCATGATCCAATATGTCATTTTCATTTGGACACTAAGCTGTTGAAACTTTACTGTGGTCAGAGGATAAAATAAAATTGCTCTCTCAGAGGAACAAATCCTAAATTGCAGCTATGAATAACAGTGCAGGTCTTCAGAAACGGTGGTTCAGCAAGAAATTGCTTTTCAAATGTTCTCAAGTGTGACTGTCTAAAGGGCCAAATCTTCCACGCTTTGCTAATTGAAAGCTCCCTTCATGTATTATAAAGGAATGCACAGTTACATAGCTGTGTATAATAAATAATAAATAGCCAGTTGCAAATGGCATTGTTATTTTATATTCAGAAATCTACAAATTGTGTGGAAATTGTGAAAGGTACATTAAGAGGAAATTAGAGTATTTTCCCCCTTTCATGCCTGCTTTTGGCTTTGATGACATCATGGGATAAATACGACTTAGGAGCCAATGTTTACTATTTTGGCTTTCAAAAAGGCTGCCTTAAGAGCTCAATTGTTAAATGGCATTAATGCATTTTCTTTAGAATAAGACAATTTAGCACTTACACATAATTTAATATAAAAAAAGGGCTTTATAGAGTTCTCTGATAGCTACATGAAGTATATAATGCAGCTCTCTGTACCTCTGAATTTCCGTAAAAGGAAACTGATCACCTCAGAAGAGAACTCTATCTGCTATTTAACAGTGCACAGCAATGAAGCACAAAGTTTAGGACTGGAAGTGAAAAATACTATTATTGGTAGAAATTTCAGAAAGAATCCATTGGGGCAGAATGTAATTACCAACTGGATGGAATGCTGTGATTTATATTTGTGCTCATGTGAAAATGCTTTGAGATGATTAATAACCGGTTCAGTCTGTTATATCCATAACAACACTTCTGGCAGGGCACAATAGCACTGTAATGATCTGCCACTCGGGCTATTATATTATTGGATACATAAGATCTCCTGCATTAAGCTAGCTTGGAGTCTCTGGGAAAGGGAGCAGGCAGATGCTCCTCCGATACTATTTGCATTGCAGTATTCTCTGTTACTATTTGCACTGGAGTGTTACCAGAGGTCCTGAGAGGGATCAGAAGGCTCTGAAGCCCTTGGTGGGCTAGACATTGTACAGTACTTGAAAGGAAAGATGCCTTTCCCTTTCAGAGTTCACGATTTAATTATATGATGGGAATCAATAGACACATAGAGCAGAGTAGGAGGGGTGCATCACAACAGTTGTTACACTTCCTATAATAAACGCCAGTCAGAGCCCTTCATCTGCCTACATCTCTTAAAAGATAACTGTTCGATAGAAAATGAAATTATCTTGTGTGTAAGTTGAAGAGAGATAATTTCTTCTCATTTGTACTTCTTTAGCAGCCAAAGATCTATGGAGCTCGTGCCGTTCGGAGGCAATCCTTGGCACAGTGACTTGCAGTCGAGATGAGTCAAACATAAAGAGAGAGGCCTTGAACATATCACGAAGAATGTGACGTTTTTCACCTTAGTTTGGCTCCATGAATTCCTGGCTGCAGTGAGGCAGTGAGGAAAAAGCTTGATAGGCATGATAATTTTCTGTTCCTTGGCTGGATTAATCGGGGTGCAGGATAACTAAATAGAAAAAACAAACTGAGAAAGACGGTACATATGTAAGAGACGACAGGGTAGCAGAGAATGAGGCAGAGATTCAGGTAAGGAGAGTGAAACTGGGATGAAGACTTCGGAGGGGTTTGTGAAAGGCCTATGAGCAGAGATGGAGACCCTCCTAAGGGAAATTAGCAGTATAATGACACCCAATATCTGACCATCTTTGGAGACTCTTTGCGTTTGTTTCAGCCACCTTGGGTCTCCTGGCCTCGAGGCTGGTATTCCCTGTGCTGAACAACGGGACTTGACATCTACATGCAAAATTACATGGCTTCTCAAAGGAGAAAAATCACGTGCAGGATTTTCTCCAGGGCTAG